GATCATTAATGATCAATGATGACTGATTTTGAACAGTAATACTTCCAACAATGTGGTTTTCCGGAGAAATAACTTGCAAAGCTACAGATAATGCTCCCATTTACTGGCACAGCCCACCCTTAGCAATAAGGTTGCCACGGAAACAGCAAAACTCTGATCCGGGTGAGAGAGAAGGGGTGAGAATGAAAGGGAGATGGGGGCAGTTTACAGCATTTTTTGTTGTTGTTGTTGAAATAAATAAACTAGAATTTGTTAAAGTAGGTTTTGGGTTTTTTAGCTAGGGGAGGACCATAGCCCTTTGCCTACAGGCTCTAGGGGTTTTGGGGGTTTTGAGGGGGTTTTTGTTGTTTGTTTGTTTTTAATAGGACAGTAAGCTGAGGTCTGATTCAAACACCAAGTATGGAAAAGAATCTAAGTTATGTGAACCCAGTCTATGTTTTTTTCCTGCAAAATGTCTTAAAGTAGAGGTATATAGTCATGGCTCTTTTTAATGACACTGATGGAAACTTCAGTACCTTTCAATATTTCTGTCAGCTATGTGATGAGTCTCCCGTGAAATCACAGGAGCGTGGAACTGACCTCTGTGTGCAGGTACATCAGACACATGGAAGAAGGCAGAATATGATGGATTAAGTATGTACAAGCAGAATGATAAATAAAAATTAATTAGAAATATTTTAAATTAAAATGGCTGCATACTTTCTTAAGAAGTTCAGATCATAATGTTTTCTAGCTTGCCTTAATGTTATCTTGCTTATCTGTAACTACAACATCAGAGGTTGTCTCGCATAAATAAAGCTGGATTAGGCTGGTTAATACATGGATAAGAGATTTCTGGTATATACCTAGCTCATGCAAAGAAAGCTGGTATTTTCCTTTCTTATTTAACTAATCAAGGGACGAAATGTGCCTATAGTATATTAGAAACCTTTCTACTATTGAAACACTATCTTTTTTATGTGAGGAATCAACCATTTGTGATATTAAAGATTCTACAAGACAATTTACTAAAACACAGCATTAACACTTGCGTCCATCATATTACAATGTGAGGAACAGCATCCTATTTACTGAGGGCTTAATGCTGCATCATAGTAACATTAATTGTTTAGAGCTAGTTGTAAAGAGGGCTGTCAACTACAATGGCCCTATGGCTACTTTATGTGTCCTGTAAGTAAACTCATGGCAACGTCTGTATTTCAGTTTGTCTGACATACTCACTGTTTCTTGTAACTTAGCTAACCCAAATTCAGTTTGGATTTTTTTTTACAAAGTCATTGTCTTTCTCATGCTTATTTTTTTTTTTAAATTCAGTTTAGTCCACAAGCAATTTTACTGCCGCTGGGCAGGAGCTGCTGAAATGCAAATAGTCTTTCAGCAGAATTTTAACTGTTTCTAGCACTTATTTGCATAGAGTACATATTTAACCACAGTGTGTTACTGGAACTAGATATTTTTGCTGATTCTGATTATATTATTAATATTTCTCTAAACGTGGATCCTGAAAATCACCTTTTTTTTTTTTTGTATTTGGGAGAGTTTCTTACTACAAGTCGTGGAACATAGCAGTTGTATTGCCCATGTTTCCTCTTCATGGTGATCAGACTGTCTTACATGGTTTAGCTTGTGTATTGACAAGTCTTCTACCTTTGCACCTGAATCGATTTAAATCCTTTGAAACTTCGTCCTAACAATGAAAACCAAAATGTAGTTTCTCCCCTTTCCTGCCTCTAACCTTGTCCCCTCATGTCTTTTTTTACCCCTACCTTTTGCTGTTAATAATACTTACTTGCTTCTGAAATGTGGGCTTCAGAGGTGGTTAAGATACAGAAGGAAAAAACGTGGCAGCTAAGAATGAGCCCCAGAGAACCACTTGGAGGAAGAAAAGGAGGAACAGTTACATGAGATGCAGACTGCATCAGGATAAGAGGAGGATCCATGAGAAAACAGAACTGAAAAAACAGTGGAGAGAAAAATCCAAAAAAGAGGGGATGGTCAGAGATGCCAAAATTACCAGTAGTTCATAAGAAATGCTGTACTTTGTCAGCATACGCCCCCTCACTGTGTATTTATTGCTAGGATTAGGTGTTATTTTGCATTTAGCAACACTGAATTTCCACCTGCCATTTTGTTACTGAGTCAACAATGAACTCATCATTCCACAACCAGTTGTTACTCATGATGGCAGTGTCTGTTTCATATCCCCACAAAAATAAAAGAAAAAGGCTCATTTTCAACTTGGATCCACTTTAGTAGCTGACCTAGCATAGGTGTGGATAGAGAGATTAGAGAGACATGGAGTTTGAATATCTTGCTGCCAGTAGTGCTATGATAATAGTAGCAACAACCTTGTTTAAGGTTAGCATGGTATAGTCACTGTGCAAGCTACAGGTGTGTCGATGGAAATGCCAAAGCTATTGAATGCTCTGGGAATAGCTAGAATTAACTAGATCCTATTTTTAATTGCAGTTTATGTCTATTACAAGGTCTCCTAATTTATTCCATTATTTCCTGGAGTTGGATTTGAACCTGCTGCCTGTAGGACAGAACTATCTACCTTTTCTAGTCCCCAAAATTATAAAAGGCAGGGTTTAAAAATGTTCTGTTCTCCCAATTTAGGGCCAGATTTGTAAAGCAGGCCAGTTCCCAGACACTGAAATAAGCGCTAGATTTCAGGTACTGGGTAATTCAGTGGCTGCTACTCCTCTGCAACGTCTAATGTCCGATTTCCAGGAGACGTCAACATCCATCGGATGTCTTGGTGGCATTTCTGTCTACAGTGAAGCTGTATCAGAAATTGGTCCTTTTGCTGGGTGCTCTGGGAAGCTTTTATCCTCTAGTTTTCCCTCGGCCTCTCTTTCAGTGGACTGGTGATCATACTGTTTTTAAATATCTACACTGCTATCAGGGTACATAAGTATATGCATTTTTTTCAAGCAGGATTGTGTTTGGTGAGTTTTTGTTTTGTTTTGTTTTTAAGTGGTCTCTGAAGGCAAACCTGTAAAATCTGTGAATCTGCTGCTGCACATAGAGAGCAATCGAACATCAAATGAAATGTGCACATTCATGTTCCCATCCTGGATGTAAATGGAGCGTCTGAATGAAAGTGCTGGGGAGAAACCCAGACCCGAGTCCCTGGTTTTCCTCACCTGCTACAGCTGTGGACACCCCACGTGTTTCTCTGGCAGCCCTCTGTCTTCCACAGCGGCTCTGCGACCCACCCTCCTCTGCTCCGACACCGGCTTCATTTTCTGATGTTGCTGCAAAAAAGGTGCCGCCTGTGCTGGAAATGGGATCTTCCACTATTTAGCAAGGCTTTGCTGAATGAGTCATCAAAGCCGGCTGGTATTGGCTGGGCTGGTGAGCACCCAAGGGATTGCCTGGCAGAGGCTGCGAGGCCTCACTTCATTCACAGAAATGTGGGGATGCTAGCCAGCCCTTTCATTCACACGCACAGAATCTCATTCACATTTTGCAGTTTCGCTAGCCACTTCTAATGAAGAGAGACATTTGGGAGCCGTAGGGTTTTCTGGGCAGTAGAGACATGTAAAAATAAGCTATGGTGTGTATATTTGCTGTTGCTATGCTAGGAAGATGAAGAGAGGAATGAATGCTGTGTGGATGCTGTAGCAGGTTTGCAGTGTGGTGAGGAAAGGCTATTCTGCAGATCACTAGAAACCTGCTTTTACACTGACTAGGACATTGCCATTACTCATCACTGCTGGGATAAGAGGTGCTGACTTGGTTTAATGTGTCATGAATATACTAATTAAATACCTGTATTTGAGCTGACTGTTTCACTGTTATTTGCACGTTGTGTACTGCAGCCTTTAGTCATGGGAGAAGGAAAGAATTGTATGGGATTTTTCCTTTAAATTGTGCTGCAGCTAGTAATTTGTTTAAAAAAAACTTTGCACTATGCAACTTCTCTGGTCTGAATTTGTTTATAATGTAATGTATTGTCCTACATCCAAAAGATGTTTTGCAAAGAAGATGAATTTATAGAAAAGAGCCATATGGCTTGTGATGGGCATTGTGTATCACAATGCTGTATACATTTTGTATTTTTCAAAACAATGTAGGAGAAATGAGATATCTGTTTGCTGCATGTTTTGCTGCTTCTCAGATCAAGTGTTTGTGGCTGACATCTATGCTTTGTAAGACCTGGTGCATTTTTTTATTTTTCACTGCAGGACGTCAGTTTGCTGCTGCCTGGACTTTTGCATATTCTTTTAGGGTTTTTTCAGTTTTTCAGAATTAAACCAAACATTCCAGTGAATTGAAGATCCTCTTCATGTTTTTCTTCAGAGTGAGTATCAGTGATGAAAGAAAAAACATCTGTTAAGCCTGTTGTCGGACATCAGAAAAATACTTCCCTTCACACATAGGTACTTATGTAATTCCTGCATTGAAATAGAAGGTTGTTGTGGAGTAACAGGGGAGAAGGATTTCTTTCTTTACAAAAATTGGATGTAACAGTGTCTATGGGAGACAGCATTGACACAAAGGCACTTGTAAAGTCTTCTAGGCTGCTTTTGTGCATGAAAATATGTATATTATTTATTTCTGTTGTCTGTTCTGAAAACCTTTCAGGTGTCTGTGTTTTGCTGGGGAGGGGGAAGGAGGGGTATGTATGTTTAAAATATTATCCAGATATTTGCTATCTAATTGTGACTTCTTTATAGATTCACAAATATGTGAGGTGGAAGAACATTTAAACAGAAGAATAAAGTGTGGTGTTTCATAAAGGCTGTTAATTCAGTTTTAAAGGTAACTGCCTTTGGTACCAAAAGGTGGGGGGGTGGGGGGAAGGGTGCGGGGAGGGGAGAGAATTACAGGTTGAAAGGAATTATCTATTTAAGAAGATAGGAAAAGGAAATTTGAGAATTGATTGGTGCTAGCATGCTGTAAGTGGGTGGATAGCTTTTTTTTTCTTTTTTCTTTTTTTTTTTTTCTACAGGAAGTGATTTGCAGTGTTCACTGAGCCTTTTGTTGAAAAGGGTCCTTCTCATTTGTGTGAGTCATGCTTTTGCTGTGAGCGAGTTGGCAGCACTAAGCAGGACTGGGATCTCTGTCACAGAAAACTGTTACTTCACCCAACCTTAACGGGGAACCATAAGAAATTTCTTAAGATACTTATTTTTTTGTTCTTCCTTATACTCTTTTATTTTTTACCCCCAAATCTTGTTATCCATCCGTGTTGTTATGAATCGCCTGCTATGTTAGCACAGGCATCTCCTGTGTTGGCATCAGATTTGCCAGAACATATGCAGGAAACCAGATAGAAGGGCATGCTTCAACGTACCAAGTATAACCGCTTCAGGAATGATTCGGTGACATCAGTTGATGATCTTATGCACAATTTGTCCATGAACAGCAAGGTCTCAGCAGTTGCTACGGCTTCAACAGCACCTTCATACCTGGTATCTCCAGAGGTTCTCCGCAAGGACCAAGAAGATGGACCCACCACCCTGTGTACCCTCATCCATAAAGTGTCCCACTTGAAACTCTCTAACACAGGCAGCCTTTTGGGTATCAAGAACCTCTCCTCTGCAGTAAAGGAGCTTGCTGTCTCCAAGTTGCAGGGAAGCTCGAGTGCTTCTAGTTCAGCAGCAGGGGCTTCAGACAACACATGTAACCTCCTTGTCTCTGCTGCTTCGTCTTCTCAGCAGGACGTGAGCAAGATGAGTATGGGGAAAAAAACACGGTCAGAGGAAATGCACCTGGGAGGTGAAGACTGCAATCAAAGTAGCAGCTTTGTCAATAAACCCTCTCGAGGATGGCTGCACTCGAGTGAGAAGATCCTGGGACCTGGTGTGACGTACATTGTGAAGGTTGGTCTGATTTCTTTCATTCTCTGTTTTTGTCAATGAAAAATTCTCTGCTGGTTTCAATGGCAGGCTAGACAGGCTGAAAGGACCTCTGTTTGTGTATTCCTTTTTTGTGCATAATGCATGGTATGTAAATACAGGAAGGCAGGGTTGGGAAGCTGTGTTAATTTGTTATATTAGAGCAAACCTGCAAATAGGTTCTTTTTCAGAAAATGTTCTACAACTATGTAAAAATACTTTTCCTAAGCTAAAAGCTGTTTTTCTTACTTTTTGTTTTGGAGTTTTTTTCCTTCTTCTGAATTTAGGTTTTCTGTTTTATCTAGCATACTGTATATGTATATCTTGGAGACATAGGCTTTCAATATGTCTGGTGCAATATACAGGAGGAAAGAAAGACTCCTTGATGTGTGAAGAACTGTTAATCTTGCATGATATTTCAGTTTGAAAATACCTCTAAGGACGTGTGGTTTTTAAAGTGAAATTATATTTGAAATACTAGAGCAGTAAGGCACAGAGCGCAAATGTTCCACAAATAGAAGTACTGTTGTGGGTAGAGCAGGAAAATGCAGCTTGTTTTACATAATGAGAATTCAGCCACCTTAAATGTTATTGCTGTTTTCCGTTCACTGATACAGCATATCAAGAGCAAAGAATCCTAAACTTACAGGGTAATATTTCCATATACTGTGAAAGTATTTTGAAATGACCTGTTAAATTAGAGCCTTTGAGAGAAGGGTATGTGCAATGTTTTTGTAGTCAGGTAAGATTCTTGTTACACCTTGCAGCACAGTGTGCAGAAAGTGTGAAAATAACATTATTGTCCGGAATTGTTCTTCAGTCACCATGTTTTATTTGCCAAGTGGCTTTTGTATCTTAACTGTTAAACTGTTTTGTAGCAGACTATTAATAAGATTACAGTTCCATTTATAATCTCATCTTATTTTGAGTATAAAAGTCACAGTGTGACTTTATATCAGGATGTTTTAAAACTGAGTGACAGCCTTGTTGCTTAACTCTCACCAGTTTTTCTCAAGTCTCATTATCAAAAGCAGAGTGCATATTTAACAGTTGGAGCACTAGGAAGCAGTCTTTGTTTCTTTCTGTTAGTGGTGCTGGTAGATTTTGCAAGTGATGGTTGATTAAGTTGGCCAATTGAGAGCACTATTGAAATCGTACTGTCTTTTTTACGAAGCTGAAATTTTCTGGAACTACAAAAGAGTCAGTGCTACCTTTCAGAACACAAATTGCTGCTCTGTTACTGTTCACGAAGTGTCTTGATAAAAATAAACAACTGATGCTAGACATAATGATGTTGAGACCCCATTGTTCTTTTGCACAGAAATATTGTGGTTAATGAAAGGTCACTTACTTACCATTTTCCCATTAGCTCAGGGAACTCAACCATTTTATTTTTTATTTTGCTTAGGATATTGTAAGTAGGCAGATAATGACTGTGAGAATTCACTGCTGCTGTTTGTTTTACCTGAAGTGATCATTGTGAGGCAGAACAAATACAGTATTCATTTTCTTAATTTTTTCAGTGGTTTACCTTTGGTATGGTAGAAGAAGCTGACATCCTTGAATTGAAAAGAGAAGTAAAATTATATACAAGTGGGCTTATATTTAAAGTTAATAATTAACCCATATCTAACACTGATATTAGAACAAATATTTTAATCAACGCAGCTGGTGTCAAATACATTAACATGTATTTATACATATTATGTATATTAGAATTTTCAAAATAAATCATTAGAACCATACAATTTACATTTTAGATGTTTGTTAATGTCATTAAAATGTATGGAATCTAGATTATTTTTTCTATTAAAAAATAGGGTGATATCTTCAACTTCATGTGTTCTGGCATAGAGTCACAGAACAGTGCTCTAAATGTAAAAACAAAAGTTAAAAATAAATATCAAAATCAGTGCTTAATGAATGAATGAAAATAAACTGGTCCTGGTTAGTTCATAATTTGTGTGTTCATTAAGTATCTCATAATTTTCCCAGCAACTGCAGCATTCATATAGATAAGAATAAAATGCAGTTCCCACATCATTAAACATTGCTAGTTCCCAGGGCTTTTATACATTCAGACCATCAAATCCGTACATAGATAATGTACACTGAAGGAAAACATTCCTTGGATACCTCATGGCTATACTGACTATCTGGGTGACTTGTACCATGTTAATTAGCATCATATGCCTTGCAGAAAATTCCATATGCCATTGGTTAAATAAGACAAAAGTTAGATTTGTTGTTAACCAGCAAAGCTTTTATCATTTTTTGTGCAAATGTGCGCTGGGTTACTATTTTCTCACTAATCCACATTCAAAACTTGAAAATTATCTATGGGACAGGGTAAATTGTAACTACTGGGCAGTTTGGTAACTCATATTGGAATCTTCTGAAGTAAGAGACACAAAGTTCCTATGTGTAATGTATGACAAACCTGTGTCCCCACTTTTCCACATATTGCCTATTTTTAAAATGGGCAGTGTAACTCTAATGCTTAAATATGGCTGTAGGATTATGGTAAACAGGAACTGTGCTCTGATCTTCATAGTCTGCTGCAATGGAATTATTTTCAGCTATAAAAATACTGGCATGTTTGTCTTTTTTTTTTTCCTGTTTTTTTCCTGTTTTTTTCCTGTTTTTATATATTATTTTATGGGAAAATTTTCACAAAAGCAACCAAAAAAATACTTGTAGCAAATTAGACAATCATCAGAGCCATATTAGAGGACATAAAGTGGCAAGATACTGATATTTTGCTTAACAGTACTGGTGAACAGTTTAACAAATTATGGATTAATTAAAAAAAATGAAATAGTTTGCTGTGATGGAAGTCATTGAAGAGCTCAGTGTTTTCCCCGTAGAGGGACTGATTACTATAGGGAGTGATTATAAATGTTCATGTTGTCAGAAAAACAAATACATACAATAAAAAAGTGTAAAACTGCATAATGTAACAGTAGTTAAGTGTTTCAGTGAAATCTGTTTGTTTCCAATGATAAATGTCTACTGATGAGTTTAATTGGGTAATGGCATAGACGTTTTGGGTTTTGTTACATTTAATTAAGAGCACAGTCAAAAGTCAAGAGGCAAATGTATGTCTGTCTTTAGGTAACTCATGGCTGGGTTTGTAACAAGTGCTTTTGAGCTTAAAATGCTGTTTCTCAGCAGTTCAAAACTAAATAAATTGAAATATTATAGCATAATTTTATATCCCTATATACAGCATATCCAAAAGACCTAACAAGGCATAAAACCTGGACCAGTGGTATAGAACAGACCCGGGTAAATCTAGTGTTAAGAAATAGTTATAAAGATAGTATCTGAGAGATAGGAAGGAAAAAGAACTTCACCTAAAGGAAGAACTGCAAGCCAGGCAAATAACATTTCAGTTAAAAATATATTAAATTATTAATGTTATAGCAAAGTATCTAAATAGTATAATCCTATCTACACTTATTTCTTTGACATTTTAACACTTCCGTGTCTTGGGAGGGGATAAGAGTGATATACATCTGATGACACAAATAGACATTTTTTGTAAAGCTGTTCAAACATATCACCAAGTAAAGGCTTCGGTTCTTCAAACATTTCTGCATGACACTGTTTTGGGGAACATTCTAACTGAAATAAGTGAGGCTACGAAGTATGTGCTTAAGGATGAACTGAATGGCTGTGTTGTGTGCTCTTAGTGCATCCTTTTATTCTGTACTATAGCATTCCCATCAGCGTATATGCAAGGCAGCTGTGATTTTAGCAGATCTCTGCAAGTAGGCACAGAATTTGCAAAATTAATTTTCTCTTTAGTAGCTAACCCAGACTGTGAGGCACAGCCTTAAATGGAAGTAACATTGTGGAAACTGCAACATATGCAGACTTCCCCTAGAAGACTTTAGGGCTCTCTGGAGGAATGTTTCTCTTTCTTTCTGTTCTAACCAGAATTGATTTGCTCCTGGTTTAAAGTAGGAGCAAGATATCAGTGCTTCGTGGTGGTACTCTGCCCAGCTGTTTGTAAGGCATGCAGTGTAGTCTGTAAGAAAAAGAGGGTTTATTGCTTCGTTTTTACTCCTCTAAATAGACATAAGGTCAACTGTACAATCTACTTCTTTAAAAAGAAGAATATTAAGATTACAGCAAGACGTTTTAGTTTCACTTTTTGGTTGATGTTAGCTTTGTCTTCCTTCATTACAGAAAAAAAAATGTGCAAGGCTTTTTTGTTTGTTTTGTGTTGGTTTTGATTTCTTTTTTTTTCTTTTAATCAGTTTCAAATTCCTGCTTCTATTCAGTCCAGTTGCAGTAGTGTTAATGGTTAATCACTGATAGTTTGACACACCCCGAGAGAAAACATACTCAGTAGGATTTCATGCATGTGGTTCTAATAATAAGGAACACAGACCCAAAGCATCCTGTTTGTAATGAAGTTTGCATGTTTAAGAAGTGGGTTGTGTGTTTCAGCCATATGATGATACTGGGACTGAATACTGATCCTTTCGTTCAGAGTCTGCTATCCTCAGCCCAGTTACCCAAACAGTGTTAGCCAGAGCTCAAAGGCTTATGAAACTCACTTATCTTCGTAGGTTTTAAAGCTGCATGCATGCAGGTTAGGAAAGTGAAGTAAGTGACAAAGACAGCATTTGTTTTAGCAATTAATCCCTCCTACTATGCCATATTCCTTTGCAATCAGTTAGTATCCTATGCATTTTCTTTCACTGTTATTTGGTCTATGAAAGAACGATGTTGATGCCTGTTGCTCTGTTGAAAGCCTATTTTTTGAGCTCCATGGATCTGAAACACTGTGGGTCTGTTATACAGCCCACTGATATGAAAAGAGCGTTTCTCTCAGAAATTAAATCTGATCCTACAAGCAGAAATCATACAGTAGAGTCTTTAATTCTAATATTATTCTAATTACCTGAATCAAGTACTATTACTGTACATTTGCACACCTTTTATAGAAAGTAAAACACGTAATGATTTTAGTG